TACCATGTTCAGGCTAAAGTGACTTCGGACTTCAGTATATGAGATCTGCTAGTTTTCAGATCCGTTTCAATACTGTTAGTTCAATTATTAGGATTTCAATATTTTTTTGGGTAGTATATCTAATGAATTCAGTTTTCTAAAATTGACTTTACTGGCTATTGTTTCAGCATGTCGTAATTCAAAATCTAGGTATATTCGATATTTTCTTTAGGGAAATCAGTTTACTGAAGTTGATACTGGCGAAATCTATCGTTTCAGCATGTCTAGTTGAAAATATAGGAATATTCGATATTACGTTTAGAGAAATCAGTTTACCGAAGTTGATACTTCTAGTACGATTATTTAAGTTCACCTGAGCTACCATGTTCAGGCAAAAGATCTCGAAAATCAGTATATGAGGCCTCACAGTTTTTCAGATAGGTTTCAATACTGTTAGTTCAATTATAAGCTTCAAGAATTTATGCAGTATATCTGAGGAATTCAGTATTCTGAAATTGGCTTTACTGGCGACACCTACTGCTTTAGCATGTCCTAGTTCAAAATCTAGGGATATTGGATATTGTTTTTAGGGAAATCAGTTCGTTGAAATTGATACTGTTAGTACGTTCATTTGAGTTCTCCTAAGCTGCTATGTTCAGTCCAATGTGACTTGACATTTTGTATGTGATCTCTGTTGCGTATTTAGGTCCGTTTCAATACTGATAGTTCAATTATAAGATTCAAGAATTTGGGAAGTATATCCAGTGAATTCAATTTTGTAAGATTGACTTTACTGGCGACACCTATTATTTCAGCTTTTCCTAATTCAAAATTGAGGGATATTCAATATTATTTTCAGGGAAATCAGTTTACTGAACATTCCTCGACATTCTGTATGTGAGTATGTTCAATACTGTTAGTGCAATTATAATATTCAAGAATTTGAGCAGTAATCTAGTGAATTCAGTTTTCCGAAATTGGCTATACTGGTGGCCAATATTGTTTGAGCCTGTTCTAGTTTGTCGAGTGATATTCGATATTTTGTCAGGAAATTCAGTTTAGTGAGATTGATACTACCAGTAACTATATTTCCATTCTCTAAAGTTTCAACGTTTAGGCTAAAATGCCTTCTACATTCAGGATACGAAATCTGCAAGTTATTCATGCCAGTCTCAATACTTTTCACGTACATATATCTGGAACACACACCTTCTCGCAAAAATCCATCGTGGAATGCAACGCCGAGGCCGACTATGACCAAGTTTCTAAGCGAAGGCTGTGATTCACCGTGCCCAAGGTCGTTCACTCCGAAGGAGCTGCACCAGGCCCACAACTGGCGAGTAGGCAGAGATTTCTAAGTTGATCCCGTAGTTTCAAACTCCGTATTTGCGTTCTCATCAGTCGAACGCGAAAGCCTCTCTACCAACCGCGCAATTAAGAGACGTACCGAAAATAAATCTGACGCAATGGTCTGATGTTCTCAGAAGAAATTAGCAATGCGGATGACATGTGTACATTTTACAATTGACTCGGAAATATTTACGATTTTACAGTTCGCCCAAAGACACATAAATCGAGGATGGAGATTCGCAATAGAAAAAAAACGAAGCTCGTTTCTACAAAACGGCACAATAAGAATGAAACGTAATATTTTGGGATTCAAATTATATTTTGCAGAAGATAATATAATTTTTTGACCATAAAATTGGAAATTTCAAATTTCAATGCTACACTAAATTAATATAGTATGGAATAAAAGAATTTACACTTGAATAATAAGGATCAACACTGATATACAAACTAAAATAAACAATTTTAACTCTTCATTCAACAATAAAAAGTTTAAATTTTATTAGCAATAAATGCACCGTTACAATTATCTCGTGGTCATAATTCAAAAATAATTAATAATTATGAGTTTTTGAGATATGGAAATTTTTGGCTATCAATAACAGTGCCCCATAACGTAATACCATAATTAATGGTACACTTCCATAACAGAGAATATAGATAGACAATCATTCATTCTAATAGTCCCATAAAATGCTTAGCTCACTTTTTTAGTCACAAAGTCGACATGTGAGAACCATCTGACGTATCGCTCTAAAACAATTCCCAAAAATTTAACATGGTCGCATAAAAATCATTTGTCGTTGTCGAAGTGAATAAATATTTCATTATTCACAATACATGATTGCGAATTATGAAATAAACTTTACTCGTAATAGTTTAGTTTTACTAGAATCAATATTGAAGCATCAAATTCACACTAAGAAGCATTCGAATTAAGAGTGTACATTCATCCAAAACTCACCCAGAACTCCGTGCTGTAATAGCTAACGATGCATCATCGGTAAAAATAGTCGTTTCAACTGCTTCTACATAACCGGGGAAAATCATTGATGAATCAAAGGAACAACTGACCACGGAGCCCAGTGGAACTCCTAAATTATTACTTATATTATACCTTTTCATTGAACAATTATGAATGATTACAATTACAATTGTAATTGAACAATTACTTTTCAGCATTATGATGTCTTCTTAAGTTAAGAAGCTATCGTAATGGTGGAATGTACGTCACAGTTTTCAATACAATTCTTTCACAAGGAAAAGAGACCGAATTGACTGTGATGATAGCGTCGGTGGTTAGGTTCTCTCTCGTTCTGATAAGACGAGAGATCTTCGTGTAGTCTTCGACCAGAAGCTTTCCTTTTCCCACACATCACCAACTTATTTCATCTGCTGCGAAAATATATGGATTCGTTATACGTAATGGCAAATATTTTAATAATTCCTCAACATTCGTAGGACTATTTAATACCCTAATCCGTAGCAAGTTGGAGTATGGCAGCATGATCTGGCTTCCCATTTACACTTGCCATCAACGCTATTTCGAGGATATTGAGAGAAGTTTCTTGAAATTCTTAGTTTGGAGGAAGGATAAAGTTTATCCACAGAAAGGAGTCAATCGAAACGAATTATTGAGTCGATTTAGTTCAATCTCATTCCAGAGCAGGAGATTTAATTGATTTATTTGTAATATTTCATTGAATGCTACAATGTAGTTATAAGTTACTACTTTTTTTAATTAGATTGAGCTCCTTGTTAAATCTTTTTCAAAGTTATTTAGTTATGTATTCTACACTGTTATTATTTTCTGTAATTGGGTGTTATACCTGTTGAGAATAAAGAACTTATTGAAGAAGTGTCTAAATCTAGAATTCAGTATTTTCAATATTAAAAAATTCAATAGACGATGAATCTACTCTGTGATAGTTCATATCCAAATGAGAGGTAATAATAAAAACTTGTCTAAAAATCACTGACTGAACAATTCTTTATTCGACTAGTTTCGCCTTTCACAGCATTATCAAGAATGAATACATATTACAAAGACAACCTATAAATATTTTGCAGATCTGTTCGGGCAACCTTGAATTTCCTCATAGAGGTGGGGGTTTCCAAATTATCAGAGATTTAACAGCGGGGAATGGTTTAGGTCTAACTGGTCATTATGAAGATCGTATTTATCGGATTTTTGAAGTTTATTTATTTCCATGGCTTCCAGGTAGTTCATTTTAATTCCTTTTTCACAGTAATGAAGTATCTTAGGTTTAAAACAACTTGAGATCTTATGTCCTGTCGACTCTAGATGTTCCCGAAAAGCAGATTGTCCGTTTTTTACGTGTTGTTTTAGCCTAGTTTCAAAACATCTTCCGACTTCTGGCCAACATCTGACGACTTACATCGAAGAATGTAAGTCGTACTTACATCGAAGAATGTAAGTCGTCATATGTTGGCCAGACCAGATTTTATTATTACCTCTCATTTTCAATATTATTGTTATCATGGATCCTCGATTTATTTTCGGCTGGAGTTTTATCTTTAGTATTTCTAATGCGCTTGGCTTTTTTTCGCAAAAATTATATTAAATTATTGCGTGGCAATTGTTTCCGGGTGTTACCCTATTTTCAGAAGCTGGACTCTTCAGTCTGTTAGACATTTTAGCTTTTGAAAATGAGGCAACATTTCGAAGAAGTTGTCTAGCTTTAAACTTCAAGCATGGGCCATCCGTAATGTAAGTCACAATAATTTCATGATTTTTGACCCCTTCCATGTCCTTTGCACAGCTTGTCACATTTGTGAGACCCCCCTAGTTCGGCGTCACATTTTACAATTATACATGTAGAAATCATTGAATTAAAACAGTAGTTTCGGTATCAGATTTATTTCTTTTTTAATGGTTTTTTAATAAAATTTAAATCAAGTCAAACACTTCACTGATGAAACGGTAGATCTATAAGAAAATTTTCAATATATTATTAATAATTAATATATTATTATAATAATATAATTAATATCTTATTATATATCAATTAAAAAGTAATATAAACAATATATTATATAATATTAAATAATTAATCAATTATATAATATTTGGCGCGAGTTTCACTTCCTCGAAAATTTCATAATAAAAGCTCGACGACAAATAATTGAAGAACATGTGAGTGGTACTTCAATTTTACGCATAATTTATGTCAATTACTGGCGATAATCGTATTGCGATAATAACATTAGAACATCATTACGACGATGAGAGTCACTTGACCCAATAACTGCCACTACTTAGTTTGGTAACGAACAATTAGAAGGTCAAATCTATTTACATTCAGTAGGCAGATACTTGCACAAAAAGGAATGGATAATGTGTAGAATAATGAATAGTAATATTTGTTGATTTTGATTAAACATGTTTTGAAATTTATTTCATGACAACAATATATTCAACTTGAAACTTGAACTTATTCAAATAAATAACAATAATTGTATCAATAATAACCGAATTTCTATATATAGATATATACTAAATAAAATATTCAAGTACTATTTTTTTAAATTCAGTTGACCAACAGTGACGCCGGTTTCGAAGGGCCAATGGGCTTGTAATCAATGTACATTACCCAACAATAATTTATCATCATTAAGCTACTTAAATTATAGACAAACACATACAGCCAAGCCTTCACCGGGACTCGAACCCGAATCTTACCGCACCAAAGTCGGGTGTTTTCCCGACTGAGACATGGAGGCCGGAATTTCGAATTGTTAGTTGAAAGGAATGAGTATGCACTTGAAATAAAATAAATTATCTGTTTTTATATTAAATATTAAATTAAATAAAACTCTTTGCTTAATGTTTCACGATTAATCGTGAAACAATCGTGAAGCCAAGAGTTTTATTTAATTTAAAGCAAATAAAAACCGAATTGTCTATTTCCAATCAAACTTTACAAAAATATCGGATCATTTGTATAGTAAGAATGTAATGAAGTAGGAAATCCACAATGTTCATGAAAGAATCAACAGAGTTACGATACTATTGCGTATTTACGGTACGTTCAAATATAAGGGTAGTTTTTTATTATCGTGCAGCATTTCTGATGAACTAGATGTTAAATTTTTTTTGTTTTATATTATTTGTAATCTTTTATATATTATTCATATCTTTTAATGTATATCTTTTTGTATTATTTTTTACTCAATACCATGAATCTTATTCAGAGGAGGGTGGAAGAACTCTTTGGCTAACAATTTCTTTTTATATATTTAAATGTTTAAATTTCAAAGGACCTATGGGTTGGTGATAATAGGACTATAAGCTGTTCATTTCAGAACACATAAGCTGGATAACGGATTGGTTATTTTGTCAGAAATTGGAGCAGCTTTGTTGTTCTTTGTATGTTGAAAAGGCTCCACTATTTTTTAACTTGCATTAAATAAGAATATTCCAATATAATTTGGTCTCTTATGTACAATAATGATAATAATAATAATAATGTTTATTCGTACGTAGGACCATAAGGCATGTACATGTCAAAAATAAGCAATAACACTAATCAAACAGGTGCATATTTGCCTTGAAGCATTCAAAATATAAAAATAAGTAACATATAAGTTTTGATACATAAATATCACAAAATGTTGTATAAAACATATTTCCACTCCAAACAAACATGTTTGTTTGGAGTGGAAAATGTTTTGAGTGAAAAAATTATATATAGTGTATGTATACACTATATAGGACATCAACCCAGATCTCACAATTCTTTAATTGAATTTAAAGCTCTGTCAAGCAAATATCTCTTTATTTCCAGCTTGAATTTGCTCATTGAAAGAGTAGAGTCAGACCCGCAGACAGTCAGTTGTATATGCAAACGGACAGAAAGAGACCAAATTTTCTGAATAGTGCCATTCTGTGTTTCGGAATGACCAGGATATTCGAATTTCTTGTGACATACCTCGAATCTCCGAGCTTTTTGAGGTTTACCAAATTAGTTTTCGCATAAATGGCAGCCTTTCAAATCAGAATGGATGGAAAAGTTGAAATTTTATAAATATAATAATAATAGTATCGTCGGATTGTAGGCATTTTGGACGCTATGATCATTATCTTTTGAGAGAGATTGAAGATAAGTCATGAACGGCTCGCCCTGAAGTTTCTTTTTAAAGTTCTGCCCAATTCAAGTAACTCAAGACTTCTTCTAAGCAAAATAAATATGGCGTATCAAGGCCTGGCCTCACACGAAATAATACATTTGAATCGATTACAACAGATCAGGTTATGAAATTAAAACTTAACACACTTGATTTAAGTTTCAATGAATATATTAAAAAATGTACATATGTTTCGGGTGGTTAACCCATTATCAAGAGTATAAAATATTACTGAATTTTAAAATGAACAACTTTCACTTATATATCCTAAACCACAGAATTTAAAACTGGTTTCACGGAAAAATCTACCTTCTTTCTTCTTAGTCGTTCACTCTTGACAGAGTGGTCGTGGTCGTGTCTCGGTCTTGTGCCACTGCGTCCCACGCCATACGGCGCCACACTGTTCTATGCTTAGCGGCTCTAGAGTTTTCATTGATGCTGGAATGCGCCACAGATTTTATTTATATATAGATCTGTCTTGTTGGAGAGCGCCCACGCGATCTTTTGCCCTCGACTTTCCCTTGGACCACCAATCGATATAGTTCGATATAGTCTTCGTTTCGGGTTATATGTCCAAAGAATTTAAGGATTCGCAGCAGCACAGTCGACGATAACCTCTCTTTGATGTTTAGCTCCTTCAGAATCGAGACGTTGGTTCGATGTACAGTCCACGGGATTCTGAGCAAGCGTCTCCAGCACCACATTTCTAACGCATCAATTTTGCGACGATTTTGCATCCTCAATGTCCATGTCTCAGCTCCGTACAAGAAGATTGGAAAGACTAGGCATTTCATTAGTCGAACCTTCGTGTTTTTGGTTATTCTAAAATCTACCTAGTCATTACAAATAGTTAAATTCTTCTTTTTCGCTATCGAAATTTGCAAGATTTCAAGGGTATCTAAACTTTTGCTCTTACTACCTGAGTGTACTATTTCGGTCTTCCTGGATACAAGAAATGATTATGTTTAATGCAGTGTTCAGAAAAACCCATATTAGGTTTATTCAGTATTAACAGTATTGATCTTTTTCTGTTCATCGATTCTTTCTTGTATAGAACGTCCAGTTTGACCTATGTAAAAGCTATCACATTCTCTGCAAAATATTTTATAAACGCCACTTCTGGAAAATAAGTCAAGTTTGTCCTTGTTATTTACCAACAATGAACCCAAATTCTTTTTGTTGGTGCATATTGTATTCATATTATTTTTATGTAATCTTCTACAAATTTTATTGCTCAAGTTAGGTATATAATTAATTGAATGAAATATTTTTTGTTGTTTTTCTAAGTGAATAGCAAAAATTTTTTGTAATAGTATCTTTCTCTGTTTATTTTTGATTAGTTTATCAATGAAGAGGGGTTTATAACCATTGTTAATAGCAATTGTTTTTATTATACAAACTTCTTTTCTAAAATTATTAGCAGACCACGGAAGCGAAAGTAATCTATGAACATAGAATGAAAGGCACTCATTTTAACATAATATTTCACCAAGAGATAAGCGAAACCTCCGTGTCATTTAGATCAGGTTATGTCATAATTTCTATCAGCTTTATGTGTAATGTATATGACGGGTGTTGTGGTTGATCTGATATCTATTTTGGTAAAATGTCTGTGATTTTGACATGACATTTAGAACATCAAAATGGGATGACGAGATATTTGTATGAACTCATGTTGTTAATTAGCTTAATTAACAACATAGTTAATCATTAGATTGGGCATTAGACGCTATTTAATTTTTTTCACTTTATTTGCTCATCACCTACATTGCTATTGTATTTTATTTTTGATGTGCTTAATATTTACTTAGGTGCTAACTCATGTATTTTTTATTTGTTCTTTCTTTTGATTGTGTTCAGTTTCCTCTTCAAATTTTATTTTTAGTTTCACAAATTTACATTTTTATCAATTATAATTCATTTCATACATGAAATAATAACTTTACAAATTGTTTTATCTTACTTAGATTACTTGATGCAATCTTGATTTACAAGGTAAAATCTCCTCGTGGAGTTCATCATACATAATTATTTTTCTTCATTACTTCTTTACATATTTTATTACTTTTTACTTTTCTTGAATCTTTCACTGTACAATAGTGAGATTTTCCATACTTTTACCACTTTTCACGCTCCTCTGTATGTATTCTTCCATATTCTTATTACCACCTGTTTCACAAGGACGGAGAAGAAACGTGCGACAGAGAACGAGAGAAAAAATTACGCCGTTGAAGAAAGTGAATCAAGACGGGGGTCTTTTCATTTTTCTCGTACTACAATTGATATTCTTTTTTTTCTGTTTACTATATCTCGAACTACAGTTTATATATTCCTTTTATGACTATAATTGAATATTATATTACTTCGTCCGGTACCGGACTACATTAAAATTGTGGTAAACTAAAACGGTTTGAAGAAAACTCAGACTTGTGGCAGTGAAATCATCTTCTTCCGTCAGTTTCCTTACAGCCTGTATACCTGGTAAGTCTCACTGTTAAATTTTATGAAAATTAGTAATTATTTCATTTTCTTTTTCTGATATTTTTTAATTGGAATTAATACTATTTTAATGATATCTAAATTACGAAATCAGCTTCTCCAAAAGCTAAAGTTCAGTTCTTAACGATACAGATTGATTGTTGTTTTTTTTCTTCAATTGGGTGTGGTTATGTTGGGAAAGCATGATTAAATTTTATCATCATAATATGAATGTAGTGCAGATTTCATTTATTTGGATATAAGCACATTTGATTCAAAAAAATATCTTCGGTTCATTATTAATTTTTTCAGTCTTTTATCCAACTGTAGCAGATAATCCACAACTTCTAGTCTGCATTTATATCGATTGAACTAACTGTCAGACTTTTAATTGTCAGTCTTTCAACTGTCAAACTTTTTATGACCATAAATATTCTCATTCAGTTAAATTTTGAACAATGTAGGATACAGTTACAAGTTACAACCTTGCTTTTATAACGTCATCATTTATTATCCCGAAAAAAGACTATAATCTATACGACATACAATTGAATACATAACCTCATAAAATGACCCCATAAAATACAATAAACCATGTATTTCCAAAGGATATGCTGTATAATCCGCTACAACTTGTCAATAGATCTCCTCTAAAATTTATTGTATATGCCGTCATCCACTCCAAGACTATCGATATTGCACAATGGCGCAATAAACGATTTTTAATTTCCGAGAACTAACACTCTGGGAATACAATAAGGTTCTGTCCTATTGTTTAACGTTTAAATCTCCGCTAGACTCTTCATTATCTTTCCGTCACGCATCTGCTGATCAGATAACTGAATTTTCATTCCATGCGGCACAAGCAGCTACTCATCTCCATAAAATCAACACTTCCTGCTATTGTATCATAGTCTTCGATTTACGATTGCGTTTGTACGTAAAAGCGTGAATGCCTTGAGCGAAAAAGAAAGCGTCCTTTGATTACCGTCGTTGAGTTATGCGACAAGAACACCTATGACGAAGAAAAAGTTTGCAAGGCAAGGTCAGTATGAGCCAATTTATTTGATATTCATCGAAAATAACAATTCCATCATCCTAGGTAACCATTTTTGCTA